ATTCTGCACACAACGAAGTTATGTATGAAAATTGACTTCAAGCTTTATTTTTTTTTCCCAGGCACTTATAATCCATCCACCAAAGACCTGGTTTTTTGTTAATGCGAAGACAATACTTCTGTATTTCCTGTTGTGTTGCACTCACTGACAATCTAGCAGATTTTTCCAACTGTGCACAGAAATGATTGTATATAAGTGAAAAGGCTGTTTTATACTACTGGGATTAACATTTATCAAGTGTATGTATAATCTCCAGCGAACATGTAAAGCATATCTTCCTACTGCCTGTAAATCGTGACTGAATTATATGGTTCTATTTCTGTGGCAATTTGATGGTGCCTGTAAACTGGCGTCCCTTATGTACTGTACTATGAGAATAAATTTATTCATTTATTTACTTATTTAAATATAAAATTCTCCTAATCATAAAAACTGATTTCTTTCTGCAAACTGAATGAATCGTGCCAGCAGTCTTTTCGTTCTTAAGTAATTCTAGTCAATGCTGAATATGTGGTGTGAAGACTGAAACAACGCTGATAAGCAGACCCAGTAGGTTCTGATCTACTCCTGAAAATGCCTGGAAAAAGAACAGGGTGCTGAATTAGTGCCAGTCATGCTGAAGACCAGCACTGAGTACTGATCTGTGTGTGCTTGATCACACCATTTCAGAACAGATTCAGAATGTTAGAGTTAGTTCAGAATTAGTGAGATTTAATTCAGCACTGTAGTAGGCTTGGCAGATGCTATTACTCAGGGCAAACCTATGCTTTTCGATAAATCTGTTCATTCTAGCAGTCTGAGTACTGGTACACCCACTAATTTTGTTCAAATTGAGATATCAAACGCTCAGTTACTTATTTATTGAATATATACACGGAGAGAAGAGAGTAACTATGCTGTTTGTAATTAGTTCATTGCTTGGTGACTGTTTCATAGCTTACATGGAGTTGGCCTGTTTCAACGTTGGTTTACCTAAACTTCCATCAATATATTGCCCTAATTTATCGCGTTTTATTTGTCTGTATGTCTCAAAGTAGAGCGTCGAATAGTATTATTTACTCTCGTGAATTCTTAAAATGTTTAAGACCAGGTGACTTTCAGGTTTCTAACAAAGCTAAGAAAAAGCATCACAGTATATGGCAACGAGCACTACAACAAACACCTACCCATTGTAGTACCGTTCCTGTTTTCATTAGAAGTATGGCTCCATGAGCTTTATGATGACAATATGGTCTCACTAAATGATTTTACATAATTCAGACAAGATCGACTTTACTCCAGAGAGAAATGTGGCGGTGGAGTTGCTGCTTTCATTTATTTCCAGTGGTCAATTTCATTCTCGAGTGAATTTATCGATTGTATTACAGTCAAATGTCATCCCGAATACTTATCACAGCATAAACACAGTTTTACCTCATATATTCACGTTACTCCTGGCTGTTCCCTCTCGGATCTATCAAATTTTGCGGATGAATTCACTATATTTGCTGCTACTCATCTTGAGAACTGTCTATCAGTAGTCACTGACGACTTCAATTCCTGCGACTGTTCTTTCCTTCAATCACTGGGTCGTGTAAACATTGTCAACTTTGCTACTCGACCTTATTAAACACTTGACTTGGTGTGTTCACCAATGATGTTAGAATATACGAAGAATGCAAACGTGCTCCAATATCGAATTCAGATCATTTTTTTATTATTTTGATTACAGCTTGATTCCACACCGTATTTTTGGTACAGGTATGGAATTTTCAGCATGGATATCGGTAGCCCGAATTTTGCAGGCCGACCATAGATATCGGGTGTGCGTCGGCAGGGGATCGAACCCCGGACCATGTGCATGGTCGGCGAGAGTCCTAACCACTGTGCCACCGACGCACATTGCATTATTCGAGTGTTGCCTAAAATACACGGCAAGTCGCACACAGTTATCTTTTATCACCTTTCCGAGAAAACGCAACAGAGTTGCTACTCACAGGACAATATACATAACCTTCGATGCATGCTGAATGACACTAACTGTTAACTATTTACTGAGCACGCACTAGATGATAGTGTGAATGATATAACTGATTACCTGCCTAGACGTATATTGCCCTAACACAGACATCATTCTAAAGACTTGACCGTTTCTCTTCTCCTCACCTCAAAAAACTACGCAGAGAAAAACAGCAGTTGTCCAAGTCTAAAGACAAATCTCGTCTAAAAATGATCAGCATCTTGATCTAACCTGAAATCTAAAGACTGAACACTATTCATAGCCAAAGACTTTTGCCATGTAAAACTCCCGCAAACATGTGGATATTTTTCAACGAGATTACTGGTAGCGGTAAGCAGGGTATTAGTGTTCCCTCTGTTGATGTAAACTAACCAACAGGTATTTCAGACACCCTCCTAGTGATGCTTCCTTTCCTAATGTAGCAAATAAAAATGTTAGTGACTTCGAAGGTTTTAACACTGCTGATGTTCTCAAATATCCGAAACCTCTAAAACCTTTATCCAGATGATGCATCTGCTTTTGTCCTTAGATGTGCTGATACTTTATGTTATCCCCTTACGAACATTTTCAATGCTTCCTTTCCCAGTTATGTTGTACCTACCTTATGGAAAGACATTAAAATTATACCGGCACCCAGATCACGTTCTGGTATTAATCCTTAATTTGAACCTATGCCGACTACCCATTCTATTTTGAAATTAATAGAGAAATTACTCTTACTCAACTTTGAAAGACGTTAACGACTCCAAATAGTTTGCTTACAAACACAGCAGTACTCTAGATGCTGCTACTGCTGTCTTAGATCGTAATATTGTTTCTCCTAAGACAAAGGGGCCGAATGTATCCGATATACCTACCTTCCTTGACTACACACCTGCTTTTCACTCTGTGCCTAGATGCTTTCTGTCAAATAAGTTTCCTCTGACACAAACTGGGTCCTGTGGTGTCAACTGGCTGCATTTTTATCTCTCTAGCACATTTCTGTATATAGTACATAACCGTAAATCTTCCTCTGCTTTGCCTGCTTACTGAAGCTGGAGTCCTTCAAGGTGTTGTTATCTGTCCTTTTCTTTTTTATCCCTTCTTACACGACACGACTCTTTCGGATGAAATCAACTTCGTCAAATACACTGATGATGATCTGACCGCCTCGTTAACAGTTACTTCTCCATCTGACTGTTTCAAACCTAACAGCTTTCTATCGGATATCAGTCAGTGGTCCTTCTGCATGTCAGATAATTAAATTCACCTTCAAACAGAAATATGATCTACAAGAACTGGTTCGTTCACACGACGCTTTTAGCATAGGGGGTGCCAAAATAGAGACTAAGTCTAGCATAAAATGCCATGGCATAATTCTATCCTCTGCCTTTCCTTAGTCATCCCATATCTATCCATGTAACCTGCTACATTAAGAAGTTAAGACAATCTGGAGTGACTCGACTTCTACTTTTACAATTTGTTAGCTCCCTATCGTTATTTAATACCCTCGTAGTCTTATCTAGGCCACTCAAAAAGGGTGACGTCATAAAATAAAAAAATATTGCACAGGGTATTGAAGGTTGTCAGTAGGACGAGTAGTGTTCAAATTAGTCAGCTTGTTACTACAGTAGTTGACAGACACCTGGACTTGTGTAACGAATGTTCCAAATCCATTTTGTCTGAACTGCATATACCCCCTCTCTCTATTCTCAACTATCCCCTTCCTTGTATCGCATCAGGTGGAACTACAAGCCATTATAAACGAATATCTGCTCGTACAACCAAGTACAGAAACTCAACGATACCATATTTGGTTCTTTTATTCTCTAAGGCGATACTATTTCAATTAACTCATAATTTAGCTATCATCATCATTTTACACTTTTTGTAGATTTTTAACTTTATTATCACTGCTAATGCCAAAAGAGATGCTGTTATCAATCCTGGAATATTATTTTTATATTTTGTTTTTCCTGTTGTCGAGTAAGTTAGATGCAATGCTGTACCGAATGCTGAAAATTCCATAGTGTATCATAACTACTGTTTTTAGAATAAAGCAAATTATCACTATTACGAATTCTTCTACATCCTAGTATAAAAAAGTACATAACATTCGATCCCATATTATATTAGCACATTTTCGTGGTTGCTGATGGAAAATTTGTGTCACATGCCATTGACCTAATCACTACTCCTTATCACCTTCGAGGAACAGAAATATCACTTAGATATTCCCGCTTATCAATGCTATGCAGAATAATGTTCCCTCTGTTTTCTCTCCCTCGTTACACCGCAACTTGAACTAATCCACTCCTGTGCAAAGTCCTACATCTATCCGTCAATCAGATGAGAAGCCAAGGCGGTCTTTCAACTGTCTCTCTCCCAATTTGTGTATCCGGGTGATTGCATAAAGGTCAATCGACAGAACTTCGTTTATTATTTTTTTCAATATGAGAATATGATCCGGTTGTTTGTGCAGTAATCAATAGACCAAGGATGCAATCTTCCCTCCCCCCGCCCCCAAGGAAATAAGTAGTATTGTTGTCTTAACATGTCTATTGCTTCAAGGATACACTCATAATTGCAATTCAACAACTTATATACAAATAATAACTTAAACTGTAACACAATGAGAACTGTACACGGAACAAATTAAATTATGCTCCATTCTCGAGGCTCTGTTAACTCAGTCAACTTCGCCTAACAGTAAATATCACTAAGCAGTAAGGCGAGCCAATTAAAACTAGGTAAGAATGATCGCTTACTGTTAAGACAACTTAAACACACGTCAGTTAGCTAGCTTGTTTAAGTATGCCTCCTTCAACTTAAAACAAACAGAACGCATATAAAAGTTTATTTAATCAATGATTAATATCAAATATAGTATAGAAGATAGAAAAATAATAATAATAATAAAGATTCTGGAGAAAGACACAAAGTATATATATTTACAAACGAATACACCCAGCATTTACATAGGTAGAAGACACCTCAGCTTACAAAAGCACCTGAAATACTCTTAATTCAATACAGCTCGTCTTGGCGGCATTGGCAATCTCTGATGATTTTGATGATGATTTGTCAACTGCTCCGGAAATTCTACTTCATCACCATCATTCAATGAAGCAGAATCGAATTTATTCGCAGGTGTACACACCGATGAAGAGAATGAATTGTAAGCATCTTCTTGAACGTTGAAGGATGTAGACTCAAAACTGGAATCCTCTTGATTCCACTGTTTTTTAAATTCGTATAATGTCAGATTCATACTGTTGAGTCCCTTATTTGTATGGATAATTCTGACAGTAGCTACTGCTAAGGTGACACAACCAGAGAGAATAATAGGAATGCCAACATACGATATAGATAAATGGGAACTATGACCACCATTGGTCAGTCCGAAGCAAATGCCTAACGTGACAAGAACAATGCCTCCAAGAATGGTACAAATGCTTTTAACAAGAAGAACATTTGCAGGAGCAATAACAGTACGACAATCGGCTGAACAATTTTCAGGGGCTTTCATAATCCAAAAGGAATTTAATACCGAAAGGTGATCTGAAAAAGAAATTCAGTTTTGGAACATTGTTAAGCATTGTTTGAAATTATTAATAAGAGAAAACCAAAAAGAAGTACAATGATAAGAACAGAAAGGGAACTACGAAACATCGGACTTTTCATCTTGCCGCGTAAAGGACGATAAATTTATCAAGAGCCATTGATTTTATCGGCCATTACGTTTCTATTGAGTAACTCTGGATAGATGTGTAATCCAGCTAGATATATGAAGGTGCTAAGTGTTAATAATAAGTATTATCAGTAAAAAAAACCTCACCATTCGTTTTACACGATAATGAGTTAACTAATAGCATTACTGTCAAGAGAATACTAAAACGCTAGTCTGTATTATCGTTTACCTACTTAATACTATGCCTTTCACTTCAGCATTTACGTCATGTCATTATTCTCAGGCGTTGGTTTGTAGTGATTTGATTGGTAACGAGCTGACATCAGTTATAGAACCACTAGAATACCGCGAAGTACTGGACAGATGTTTCGTCCTAGTTTGGGACTCCTCGTCGGCATACACCCATCGGGGTTCGAGCTCAGGACCTCCCAGGTACAAGGCAAGCTCGTAGACCGTTCACCCACTGGCCTATGCATTCCAACTTCTGCCAATTCGCGATATATGGAGCAGCTACCAGTCGTCGTCGAGTAACCACTGAAAAGTTCCGGGGTTCAAACCCAGGTAGGTGCATACTGATGAAGATCCCCACACTAGGACGAAACAGCTGTCCCGTACTTCATGTTCCTTCCAATGGTTCTCTAATTGATATCAGCTCGTTATCAAACCTGCATCATAACACATCATATTAAGTCAGGTTTATAGCCTTAGACATTAAAGAATCTGAGTAACTGAATCGCACTATCTTACACCTGTGATCTCCTGAGACAGCTGTGTGATTCATCGCCTACAGAAATATGCTGACCAACTGACACACCTTTAAGAAAAATAAGAACAATCGCACTGGACCCAAACTACCGGCTGAAAATAGTTTGTCGGGATGAAAACCTACACAAATGAAGATTCAGTTGATGTACCTCTTCAGAATTCAGTTCAGTAGTTCAATCTTACTCGTCAAAACTACAACTAAAACACACTACCACCTAGCATACTAAGTTGCGTTTTCCTAGAATCAAAAGGATTTATAAATGACTGACTGGTTTCAACATAGAAGCATGCATAGATGTGCAGCAGTTCGAGTTGCCACACTCACTTCATGTACCACACAAAGCAAGAGGAGAGTGTATAGAGAGGTTCAAAGGAGACATAATAAACAGAAGTGTGAGGGAAAAGGAATAATAATATAGAAGAATAGTACAGTTTTATTGGATGTGACAAACCAGAAAGAGTGAACGCTTCTGCGCCATTGAGAACGAGGATTCTGGACCATATCACCACCAATAGTCTCTAGCCATTCGTTCTTAACATACCGAGGACTCCACTCAGGTAGGCAGTCAGTCTATACCTCCTTACGTGGTTTAAACTAACTGTTATGGATTTCACTGACTGACTGGTTTGACTACCACTAGCTCTTTTCCAACCCAATCCTATGTCAACTAGCATCACCAGTCAACGAAAGAGATGATGTATAAATGTGCACTGGCGAACATGAATGTATCTATACATTATGCAAATGGGTTTGTTATACTATCTCATCACTGACAGACAAAGCAAAATTCCAATCATTGACTAATTAGTCTTGTAAACGAATTCCAATGTTTGTTTGATATGCCAACAAAGAAACCATAACTTGGGTCCTCAAGATACTACTAATCATAGCTTAGACTCTTGATGACATTCCCCTCGATTGTAATTTTATCACAGAGTTCGGAAGCTTTGCAAGTCCATATGTAACAAAAGTCGTATAGAATATGAAATATGATGGACTGCCCATATTGCCCCCACAAGACCGATCACATACAAAAAGTAGAACTTAAATAAATGGTGGTATACCGAAAATGATAAAAATATACATACGGCAGTCGAAAACCCTTCCAAATACTTCTATGATTTTTTCATATCAGGCAATAATACACAAGAGTTCTGCAAGGTTACTCTCTATACCATAATAGACAATGCTGTGACTCTAAGACTGCCGCCAGGGCTTACGACGCTCCACACTAAGTTCTTATTCTTCTCAATGGCAACTGCATAGTTGCCATTAACAGGTATATTCACCATGTTTGTATCTCAGACTAGGCTATCCAAGGACTTGGAAGATGCAGTTGTAGGCTCCATCTCCGTAGAGGGGAACATGCAGTTTGTAACATATTTCCGACCTGTAGTTGTAGTACATATTGTCGCCAAGGTGTTAAAGAAAATTGTTAAGGAGCGCATACTAGCTCATGTGGAGAAACATGACCTAGTGGAAGAGGAACAGCACAGATTCACACCAGGGCAATACTGCCAAACGAATCTGTTGACAGCTAAGAAAAAATTATGTGGAGCCACGGATAGTAACCTGCTGACTGATGTAGTTTTTATTGATTCTAGTAAAGCAATCAGTAAGGTGCCTCATTTAGGTCTCAGTAGACCAAAAGAGTTCCGATTAGCCAACAGCTTACGTGGTTGGTTTAGGGACTGCCAAGCGGGTAGGCAAGTAAATGACATATTCTCGCAGTGAGGGTGCAGTAGGACACGATTTCAGACCAATTACTGTTCTTAATGTACATTAGCAAACTACCAAAAATCTTTGTCTGTATTTGTAGACGATACTAAGACTTGGGGAACTGTAAGTAATTATGACAACGACAGCCTGACCTTACAAAATGAATCAGATACACTAAACAAATGGTTCAACCGGTGGAGTTTAGGAATCAATTCCAAGAAGTGAGGTGATGCGCCAAGCCTAGAAATTTTATTCGACGTACCTCCTGAGGAAAACAGAATTACCCAACATTAAAGGACAAGGAATCAGGAAGTTACTTTCAGTCATGACTTAAAAACAGCTGGAACCAAGGCTTTCTGAACACTGTGGACAATTAGAAGGACTTTTGAATGCTGAGATGAGATTACGTTTAAGGTACTCTTGTGAGCATATGTTAGACACCAACTAATAGGTGCTATCATGAAGTGGTGGTCGAGCTTGCATATCGGAATGACCAACGAGCTACACTGGTTAGAACTAATGTTCCCAGAGGTCCCACCATGCAACTAGACTAAAAGTAGTATAGTATAAGATGTTTACACTATGCTGGGGGTCTGTGGAAAAAGTTGTACTGCTGGGGAACAGGAATGTAACAGCAGTAAGATGTTACCCTCAGATTTCCAGCATGCCAGTTATGCTGCCTCTCTACTTTGAAGAGCAGGGGTTAGAAATGGTCGACCCGAAAATTTCACATCCCGACCTACTGTACGGTGGTCCTAAAACGGACACAACTCTAAAAACCGCCCTTAAGCAGTTGTGCCCTCGGCTCTGCGGTCACGCAGAAAGCACCAGTCAGTCAAAGCCCATTTTGAATACTGCATACAGGCAGTTGACCCATGCTTCAAGGGGCTAGAATTCTTGGTAAGAGTACAGTTAGTAGGTAGCAGGATAGTTAGAAGTATTTCGCACATCATTTATGAGAAGAGGATGGAAAATCCAAACCTCTTTTCATTAACATCCGTAAGAGGATGCGAATTAATTTGGTTTATGCTGTAATAAATGGTTTGGGTACTGAAATTTCTAACCTTTCCTCTTTTTTAAAGCTACCTCTGTCACCTCGTCATAAGAGGTTGTTTAAAATGCAGTCGAACAAAATACAGGAGAAATTCATGTTTTCACACAGAGTGGTCAACAACTAGAACCCCTTACTTGATCAATCGGTATCGACTCCATTTATGAGGAGATGTATCTCTAAAGAAATATAAGTTCCAAAAGTAACATATCTTACAAGAGTATACTGTTCTTTATCACTGAATCTGAGTCAACAGCCCTTTTTTGGCTTCTTTGAATACTTTTCCTTAGAGTGGCGGTTTGTACTTCATCTTCGAGCACAGCTATACTTTGATGTATCAGTCATTCCTTAAGGGATGCGATTGTAAATTATTCACAGGCAGATGTAATTACCTCATGTCATCAGATTCGTCTTCATCACATTATTTTTTCGAACAACTTTTTTCCTTTATAGTACCGTTACATACTTCTTCCGTCGTTTTTTTTTTTGACCACTTTACCGAAACGTGACTGGTCTGCGCGAAGCTATAGATTAAGTTTTTTAGCCAGCCACTATTTTATTACATTCCAATGCCCAAATGGAGACGATATTCTTCTCTAAAATGAACTAAATAATAAAATGAGTTATCAATGGTATGAAATATTACAACACTAATGATTCTTATTAATGTGTTGTTTACGAACAACTAGTTCTCCATGAAAAAGCGGAATGCCGTGTACTACTAATATGGAATTGGCTAATTGAACTTTTGTGTTGAATTTAAAGAAACAAATGAGCACTAACGGCGGGACTTCTTTTGGAGTGAATATATATGGAAACGAACTTTAAATTTTCCACTGGGAGACAGGGGTTTTCATTTTCATGAAATAAAAATAATGTTGTAGTAGCACACACCGAAGAGTGTATCATAACTTACATATATGTTTGTCGGTTGGGCCTGTAGTAGATTCAGATTATAAGGATAGAAGGCTTTTATTGCCTATGTTAATCCTTGCGATATATATCTCTGCAAAGATCTAGTTTCTCTTTGAAAGCGTTCACCGATGGAGCTGTTACTACTGAATCAGGTAAGGAGTTCCAGTCGTTGACCACTCTGTGAGAGAATCTAAACTCCACACGTATTTTGTTCGACCTCGGTTTGAGCACCTTGTGGTGACCCCGTAAATATATCCTAAAGGGAGAGAATTGGATCACCCTTTCATATACGGTAAGCCAAAATTAGGTTGCCTCTCTACCTTCAGTATGATAATGGGAAGAGATTTAGATTCTCCATTCTCTTATCTCTCTAATTTGGTTCCTACC